TATTGAGTAGCCCCCACCTTGTTCGTCATTGTAGACAATTGTTAGTGCCATCCAATATCAGGGAGGATAATGCATGTGATGGAAAATCATGATGGTGTGATATGATAAGAATCTTATTGATGACAAAACTATGTGAAGTGTTGATTTATGAAAAACAATGTTGTTATTTTAGATGTTAGGCTTTGGGTTTTAAGAATGTTGAAATTCACGTGACCTTGAAATTTTGTTAGTTTAAGTTAAAAGATTATGAAAATAATAATAATAATAATAATAATAATAATAATAATAATAATAATAATAATAATAATAATAAATGCAAATTTTTATGAATGGGATGTTACATTTATTTTAATGTCAGAGACCATTAAAAAGGGTGATATTGACTATGATTGAAAATTTGGGCTCAAGTAATCTCTGTAATACTTGGGCGTTTGGAAGCCTAACAATGCAAGTAGGACGATAATTATTAGTGATCTCAAGAGACTTTATATAGTTAATGTTTAAGATCATGTCATAGAATGATATGTACGTAAGAAGATTATATGATTACGAAAGTGTATGGTGGATTAAAATTACACAATGGACATGAATGGTCCTTTGGTGAAGTAAAATAATGATGAATCTAGATTATGAGTAAACTGATCTTTCTGTCATAGAATGATATTTACGTAAGAAGATTATATGATTACGAAAGTGTATGGTGGATTAAAATTACACAATGGACATGAATGGTCCTTTGGTGAAGTAAAATAATGATGAATCTAGATTATGAGTAAACTGATCTTTCTATGAATATGTTGGAATCAGGAGGTCTTTTGGCTATAGTTTCTCTCTGGTTGATTACCATCCTTTTATGTATTGAATTCAAGAATAGTGAGATGTAATGGATTCAGTTACAAGGTCCCTCTTTCGGTCTTGATTTGATTCTTCTATTGAGCCAGAGAAGAAAAATTGTGGGATCCCAAGCTTGAAATATTGCTGCAACTAGAATAAAGGGAAGATAGTCCCAAAGAAATCTAGTTCCATAGTCAAGGTTGACAAACCATGTGTTTACTTTGCTCTAGTTTTAGTTGGATATTGTCAAGCCATTGTGTTATTAGAATTGATTGATTTCAAGTTTAAATATGAGATTATTGTAATGAGGGTGGAAACAGTATTCAATTTACACTTTCGGATCTTAAAAATAGAATATTTCTTCCTTTTGATACAAACTATATTATGGTACTTATTGATGGTATGTTAGCATATTTTATAGGCTAGGACAACTGATTCGATTGCATGATATTATTTGCATATGTTATTTCAATTAAGGAATAAGGAATCATTTCCTTGACCTTGCGTCTTGAGCTATATATGTAGGAAATCGAAACGAACTAGATTCTTGAATTTTTCATGTTGAAATCAATGAGAAAACAAAATAAATACAGAAGTGTACCTTGATCCATAGATCTGAGTTTTCTGAAATCGATTGTGATCTTCCAAATGCTACGTGATTTCTTGAAATCTGTTCGCTGTTGATGTGGATGCAAAGAATTCTGAAAGTCATGTGCAATTTGGGATCATGACCCCATATTAAATAATTGATTATTATCTTTTAATTATTTTATATTGGCCCATCATCAATTCAAAATAATTATTTCGATCTCTACACTTTAATCCCATGAGAATTAATATCCATTAGTCCAAAATTAAACTTAGGGGATCACCTGATCAACTAAACCTTAACACCACACATTTTAATATATATACATGTATGGCCTCATACGATGGAATTTTTCCAACAACTCCCACTGGGTCATACATGTAATATTACAAATGTGTGCTATTTTATGAGCTCAAACTATTGCTATCAATTTTAAGGATATTTCCAAACAATCTCGTCCATCAATTATATTGATTAATCATGGGAGTGTAGCATGAAAATTACATGTTATGTGATCTGAACATGTCTATTTCCAACTGGTCCAACCTTATTTCTTAAGTGGGATTAGTACTGAACATAATAGGATAGTGGAATGAATTAAATACTTCATTTCTGTACAGAAAAATATCTAAATATAAAAATGTGTCCAACGTAAACATAAAGCAACGAGAATATGAACTCCAACTAAAATATGAAATCCTCAAGAAGCAGTGTACTCATGAAAGACCTTGGGTGATAATCTTTTAGTGAGCGGATCTGCAGTCATGGAGTTTGTTCTTATGTACTCTATAGAAATTTGTCCACTATATACTCTTTTCTTCACAACCAGGAACTTAATGTTAATGTATTTTGATTTAGATGAGCTCCTATTGTTATTAGAATATAGAACTGCCAAGTTATTATCACAATATAACTTTAGTGGTCTTTTTATTCTATTCAGAATGCGCAGCCTAGTGACAAAATTTCACAGTCATATTCCATGGTTAGATGTCTCATATCATACTACAAATTCTGCTGCCATGGTAGAAGAAGTTATGAGTGTCTGCTTGGCACTCTTCCAAGAAATAGCTCCTCCAACTAGCAGATAGATATAGCCTGATGTGGATCTTCTACTGTCTTGGTACCCAGCAAAGACAGAATCGGAATACCCTATGATTTCTACTGGTCCGATCTGCTATATGTGAGCATATAATCCTTTTTTCTCTTTAACTACCTCATGGTTACCCTTTTGACTGATTTCCAATGATCCATCCCAGAGTTGCTTAAATATTTTCCTAGCACTCCAACAATGAATGCTATGTTCGGACGTGTACAAAGTTGAGCATACATTATACTCCCAATAGCTGATGCATGGGGAATCCTTTGCATTTCCTTAGCTTCAAGGTCATTTTGTGGGCATTGTTTGAGACTAAATTTGTCTCTCTTAGATCGGGGGTGTCACCTAGTTTATAGTCTTGCATGCCAAACCTATTAAGTACTTTATCGATATACCTCTTTTGTGACAATCCAAGAATACCTCGAGAGTGATCCCAATGTATCTGAATCTCTAATAAAAAAGAGGCGTCACCAAGATCTTTCATCTCAAAATTCCTTGATAAAAATCTCTTGGTTTCGTGCAACATGCCTATATCGTTAGTAGCAAGTAGTATGTCATCAATATACAAAATCAGGAAAATAAGATTACTCCGACTAAACTTGTGATACATACAATCATAAACGGCATTCATCTCAAATCCAAATGAGATAATTACTTGATGAAATTTGTGGTACCATTGATGGGAAGCTTGCTTCAGCCCATAGATAAATTTCTTTAATTTGCAAATCGTATTCTTCGAGTCTCCTGACACTAAGTTTTCTGGTTGCACCATATAGATCGTCTCATCAAAATCGCCATTGAAAAATATTGTCTTAACATCCATCTGATGTAGCTCAAGGTCAAAGTGCCAACAAGTGCCATAATTGTTCTGAAAGAGTCTTTCATTGAAACTGGACAGAAAGTCTCTTTGAAATCGATGCCTTTCTTTTAGGTAAAGTCTTTAGCCACAAGACGAGCCTTATATCTCTCCACATTACCAATTGAATCCCTCTTGGTTTTAAAAATTCATTTGCAATCAATAGGTTTCACACCTTCAGGTAACGGGGCAAGATCCCAAACTTTATTGTCTTGCATAGACTTGTACTCCTCATTCATGGCATCAATCCACTTTTGAAAGTTAGAACCCTACATGGCCTGATGGAAATTGATTCGATCGTCTTCCACCATTCCATAAGTTTCCTCATGTTCTTGGAAAAATACTACAAAATCATCCGGAATAGTATTTTTCATCTCTCTCTCTCATGGATCTCCTCAATGGCATTGGTTCTTGAGGTTGTTGAGTTTGTACTTCTAGAATAATTACCTCATTTTTGGATGGGAGGTTCTTCAACATTGTCTCATTGAGGTTCTAGATATGCTTCTTGATCAACGAGGAGTGTAGAAACATGTACATTGTTAAATACAATAGTAGGAATCGAAATTGATCATTCCTCAAAGAAAATGTCTCTAACCTTATTTCTCCTCCCAGACTCAACATCATCAAAAATGTTGTAGTTCCCATTTCGAAAATTGACTTAAGTGTGGGATCATAAAATTTATAGCCCCTAGATCGCTCAAAGTAACCAATAAAATAACTGTTAATTGTTTTGGAGTCCAATTTCTTTTCATGTGGCCTATAAGGTCTCACCTCACCTGGACATCCCCAAATGTGAAAATGCTTTAGACTAGGTTTTCTGCTTGTCCAAAGCTCATAAGGTGTTTTAGCAGCAGCCTTAGTTGGTACTCTATTCAGAATATAAGCTGCAGTCTTTAATGCCTCTCCCCAAAGTGATTATGGCAAGGTAGAATGACTTCTCATACTCCTTATCATATCTATAAGAGTTCTATTTCATCTTTTAGCTACACCATTCATGTTAGATGATCCTAGCATGGTGTACTGTGGGACGATTTCACATTCCTCTAGGTATTTAGCAAATGGTCCTGAACATTGTTCACCTGAAGCGTCATATCTATCGTAATACTCACCAGCGTCATATTCGTCGTAATACTCACCACCATGGTCAGACTTAACCCTCTTTATCCTTTTATTGAGTTGATTCTCAACCTCTGCTTTAAAGGCTTTGAATATGTTCAGTGACTTAGATTTTTCATGGATGAGATATAAGTACCCATAACGTGAGTAATAAATTATGAATGATATAAAATATTGTTGACCATTCCAAGAAGTCGTAGGGAATGACCTACAAATATCTGTGTGCATCAATTCTAAGACGTCTGAAGATTTGTTAGCACCTAATCTCCTTTTTTCGGTCTATTTTCCTTTGATACAATAATACACACATCAAAATCTATGGAGTCCTATATAGAAACACTTATGTGAGTAGTAGCACCAGAATATATCCACCAAGTGTTTCTATGTACTGAAGCTAAATTATTCTCAGAACAGACCAAAGTAAGAATTGTACCTTTCTTTGCACGTCATGCGCGATATTTGGCACAGTCCTTCTTCACATGTCCAGCCTTATTGCAAAAGAAACAAGTTCATTTATCTTCCTTCTGTTTCTTTTGTGCTGGACCCTTAGAAGCAGCTTCATATTCATTCATCTTTTTCTTGCCCTTATCCTTAAAAGTACTTACCAAATGAGCAACTTCAGTTCTATCTTGCTTCAGCCTTTCTTCCTCTTGCACACAATATGAAATGAGCTCATTTAGAGACCATTTCTCCTTCTGGCAGTTATAACTAACCTTAAATTGATTGAACTGTGTAGGAAGTGAGATCAATACCAAATGCACAAGCAAGTCATCAGACAGCTCAAGGTTTAGCCCTTTAAGTTTTGAAACAATGTGAGACATCTCCATGATGTACTCCCTTATGTTCCCCTTACTTTTATACTTCATTGAAATCAAGCTTTGCAAAAGTGTGCTTCTTTCAGCTTTATTGTTTTTCACAAAACGTTTCTCAATTTCGGCAAGGAACTCCTTAGCATTAGTTATCTCTTTAGATATTGCACCTCTTAAAGCTTCCAAAATACCACTCTTAATGATTATTAGACTCATGCAATTTGAGCAATGCTACTTCTAAAAGTTCCTCTTTTCATCGGGAGAACTTTCTTCCGTAACAGGAGTGAGTTCTTCAATATGGAGTGCAAGGTCAAGATCTATACAGCCAAGAACGATCAATACGTTCTCCTTCCAATCCTTGAAGTTTGTCCCATTAAGAATTGATATTAGCAGATATTGTGGTAGGAGATGAATTAGCTGTACAGTGAACAAAAATAAACAGATAATCATGCTCATATCCATATTTAATGTACAATAAATTCAAATAACGGTAAGTCTCATCTCAAGATACCCAGTGCAACATTAATATCAAGTCTTTGGATAGTGATATTAATTGCTAGTGATACTCTCAGTACAGTGATCAAACATTGACAATAACTCCTGTCAAATAATAAAACCATCTTTGGATTGATTTATTATTCACATGGAAACTTTATAATTATCACACATTTAGCACCGTAGGTGTATATGTAATTCGGCCAAGTATTAACCTTCCTTTGGGCCGGCTAATACCCGCATGAAGAAACACACACACAACATCTAAACATCCCAAACAAACCAATCTACACAAAAGGAGTCACTTTGGTGACATATTGTTTCAATTAGTTTATTCAAAATATTAGAGAACCTTAATTTATTATGAATGATTTACCAAATTATTCGAATTTGATTGTCTCACATAATTAAACCTTAATTATTCCTCTTAAAAGAGTCCTTAGTACCTTAATTTGAGAAAGAGGATATTAATTTTGCATTATTAGATGCCTTTAAAAACTTTAGGGACCTAAGGGTTAATAATTCAAAAGTTTAGGGATCAAATTTTAAAAAAAAATTAAAATTTCAGGGCCAATTTTAATTAATTATAAACATTGAGGGCTTTAAGTACAAATTTTAAAACTTTAATGGCCCAAATTAAATAATTTTCAAAATTTAGGGGTTGGATTATTAAATTCGTAACCTTAAAGGTCCAATTTGGATGGATCAGAAACATTAGAGACTGAAATGTAAATTTTTATTTTGAAAAAATAATTAACCCTAATTTTAAATTGCAAGCAAGGGCCTAAGAATTCCAAAATTGTACCTCAGGCCCCCATCCCCAAAACCATCCCAGATCTCTCTCTCTCTCTCACCTTAATGACACCGGCGGCCAGTGCCCCAACAGAACAGCGCCACAGTCGACAGCGCCTGGCATTGCTGTATGTGTGCAGCAGCGTCACTTGGCAGATTCAGATTTTTTTTAAAACCAATTTGAGACAACTTTAACCCAGATTTTGATCAAGAAAATCGAATTACCAAAAATTTTCTTCGATATCTTGAATAATAATCATGAACAATATACAAAATAATGCTCTTGATTCAACAAATGACAGATCCAAAAGAATAACCAAAAATAATATCCCAAACAACTTTCAAATTCAACAAAAATATATTCAAGGTTGTCAAATCTGAAAATTCTTAAACAAATGTGGCAAGATCTTGATCCGAAAAATTAATCTGTAATATAAAACTTTAGTAACATTAAATCTTACAATTTCTCAAAGAATTCAACAATAGAGTAACTCTGATACCACTTGTAAGAAATTGAAACTAACCAAATTCTTGAATCTTCATGTTGAAATCAATGAGAAAATAAAATAAATGTGAAAGTGTACCTTGATTCATAGATATGAGTTTTCTGAAATTAATTATGATCTTCCAACTATTACGTGATTTCTTGAAATTCGTTCTCAGTTGATGGGGATGCAGAGAATTCTGAAAGTCACGTGCAATTGAGAACCATGACCCTATATTAAATAATTGATTATTATCTTTCAATTATTTTCAATCGGCCCCTCATCAATTTAAAATAATTATTTCAGTCTCTATACTTTAATTCCATGAGAATTAATACCCATTAGTCCAAAATTAAACTTAGTGGATCACCTTATTGACTAAACATTAAAGATAGCACCACACATTTTAATATATATACATGTATGGCCCAATACGATGGAATTTTTCCAACAATATACAGGTAAGATTTGAAATTAGTAAGGTCTGTACTTACTCCATAGGTGCAGTGCTTGGAGGGAGATAGTAGACAAGGAAGGTTTTGACAATAAAGAAAAAAAAAGAATGTGGAGTTGAAGACAACAATGGTAAGTTGTGCATTGCTCAATATGACCACAATGAAAAAGGTATTAAAAAGTTGTAAAAGAAAGACTAATACATGCATATGTATATATTTCGTGGTGCAAGAAATGGAACAAAAGAAAAAGGTACAGAACCAAATGCATTAGCTTTACTTTATTTTTTCAATTACGAAGAGATTTATATTACTTGTAGGTTAGTGGAAACAATTGAAAAGGCCAGTCAAAAAGCAACATCTAAAGAGAAACAAAAGGGAAATGGAAGGTTAGGAGGGGAAAGAGGATTATCTGGATGGGTATATGGGTGTTGCAGGGAGTGAATACATAGAAAGAAGAAATCAAAAATGTAAAAAGAATATAGAGGATTATTAAGAACTAGGGTGAGAAACAAAAATGTGAAAAAGGAAGAGAAAGAAATATAGAAGAGAAGATAAAAGAGGGGACTGAAATCTGAAGAAGAAGAGGAAGAAGAAAAGATAAAGTAAAAGGAAAAGGGGGGTATTGGGGATAGATTGACAAAGACTGCAACGTTCTTGCCAATTTAAATTGCATTCTCCTTATATAAATTGGCAAAGCTGCATGTGGACAAGATAATTTATTTATTTATTTATTTATTTTCTGGGGGAAATAATACATCTTGTATTGGGCAGAATTTCCAGATTTGCATTTACATTTTGGCCTAGCCTATAGAAAGCTTTGGATGCTAAGTTACGCTTCAATCCAGTCATATGGTTAATTATAAAGAATAAGTAGATGCCTTCGGGCTAGATTCCTACATCCTAAGGGAAATGGGGACAAGCCTTTCTCTTTAATGGAATATGTGCATGATCATAGATTAGTATTGAAATGACTTCTTTACAGTGTGGTTGGGTAGAAAATATAGAATTCAACTTGTTTGGGATGTAGTTGGCTAAAGAGAGGGGAGGAGGCTTCGTTTTATTCGTAATTACTGCAAATAAAATGAAACAAACTAAAGAAAAAAATATATGAAGAGAGCATGACAAAGAAGTTTTGCAGATACAAGATTTTGAATTTAAAGCTTGGGATAAAGTTTAAAGTTTCCATAACTATCAACATGAAAAGTTGTTTTCTGATGAGGTAGGATGAGAACATTGAGTTCAAATATATTTGCCCTTATAAGATCATTGAGTGAACTAGTCTAATTGCTTATAACTATACCTTATCATGTAAGGTATCAAGGATTTATAATGTGTTATGTTTATAATAAGATATTGGACAGGAAGGAATAGATTTTGCGGAATAAGACTATTCCACTAGCTAAAGTTCTATGGAAGAATCATGAGGAATAGTTTTGCACAGTAAGACTATACTAGTTAAAGTTCTATAGAGGAATCATGTAATAGAAGAAACAACATGAGGAAGTGAGGATCGGATGTATTCTCAGTATCATTGGCTTTTTAATACTTAGTTGACTGAATTTCAAGGACAAAATTCCTTGAAGGGGTGAGTTCTGTAATAACCAAGTTTAAAATAAAAATAATAAAATAAAACTAAATAGTAAAGAAAAAAGTTAGTCAAACATACAAGGAAAAAAGAAGAAGAAACAAAAAGGCCTGGCGATGGATTGAATATTTGTATTTAACCCAAATTAGTTCAATATCAATCCATTTACATTACTACACGTATACATACAGAAAGAAAACAGTGATAGAGAGAAAAGAAAAGGCAAAAGAAAATAAAAGAAAAAGATTCAGAAGAAGTATCACCAAGCCGATGGAGAAGTAAATGGAGATATTCAAGCTTGGTCATATTTCACTCTTCAATTTCTGTAGAAGCTTGTGAAAGAAAAGCAGTCGAAGTATATAGACAGGGAATAAGAAAGAAAGGCATAAAATATGGTCATAATTCATACTTCAATTTAGGGTGGGCCTTGAGATTTTGAGTTTCCTATGTGATATGTTCAAATCGTGCCCCTTTCACATAATTAAATATTATATTAAGAAAAAGAATATATAACATGAATAAGAAAAGTACAAGTGAAGTTCAAAAACACCTCCCAAATTATCAACAAATACTGTGTGTATACCGTGAAATGCAACAAATTATGTAAAAATATTTCTTCTTACATTTTTAGAAGTAAGATCACTAATTAAACATTCGTAATCAATATGTTCTAGAAAATCTTGTTTAATGAATATCAAAGATAGCAATTGTTTTTTTAATATGGCTGATCTCAAATAAAATTTTAATAACTTCAATTTTGAAAAATTTCTTTCCACAGATAATAGGAATTTCAATAATATCCTATAAGCAATAAATGGATTCGAAAAACACATCAATATTTTTAAGCAAAAAAGATTGACGGTAGGATTTTTTCTTCTCTATTTGAGTTTCTTCATGGGTTAAAGGGTGGGAGAGAGGGAACTCATGAAAAGGGATCTAGAGTTAGCCTTTCATTCTTCACTTCAATTATTTAGATTTTGGGCTCCTTATTATGTTGTTGGCTTAATAATTGGTTAAGGAAACTAATTAAGCATTTGGTATTGTGCTATTAAAATAGTCTGCATTCATTTTTTTTCTCGAAAGCAAGATAATTAAAATTAGAAAAAAAAATTATTTCAACAATAGAATTAATAAATTATTAACACAATATAAGTTTTTTTACTCTTTTGTTTTTTTAAATATTGTGTCCTATAACTTAACAATATAATGATAAAAACTTAAAGTTTAAAATTAATAAAATATTTTATATTCACAATTATGCATATATATACATCTACAGCAAAAAAAAAAAAAAATTTGGCACTCCTACATTGTTGAGATCATGTGTAGTCGCTCGACTTGTTAATCGTCAGGGTCGTCTTTGCTTCAATTTCAGCTCAAATGAGGAGAATTTACAGCTTTAGG